CATTGTCAAAATACCTTCAAGCTGGCAAACCTCCACGGATCCTAAATTCATTTAATTGAAAAGAAAATGCACCTCAACATTTCCTTGTTTTCAAACTGTCAGTTTGTCAATTTTTGTTTAAATATTTCATCTTTGAAATAAATTCACAAGACTAAGAAAAGCAGCTTGTTTGCAGCCATTTAGCTCAATCAATATGCTGATTGTCGCTTGAACACAACTTTTTAATTGCATCAGGATGCAAAATATCTATTATTCATACTTCAAGAAAAGGAAATAATTGTTTATTTCCACTTCAAGACACACTTGCATACAAAGCATCTCTTGGAAGGGAGGGTTAAAAAATTGTTCAACTCAAAGCTTGATTGAAAAAAAAAAGGCAATTTCTTTGGGCCTACTGGAATATTTTAAAGGGAAGTTTTGTGTTAATCTCGTAGCCCCGTGGCTCCTAAAATAAGATTGATTTCTGCTTACCCAGCCCTAAATTCCCATTGCTGTCACTGTGTAATACCTGCCTCAGTATTAGTCTATCAAGTTTTGTTTCTGAATAAGACAGTAAATCAATAGTGCTGACAAAATCAGGCACCTGATAACCTCTCTATTAGTGAGCTGTCTCATCCTGAGCATCACCACTGCGTCCATCATGGAATTCACCCCAAATCACAAAGAACAGCATCACAACAATCCACAATGAATATTTAATTCTACATAATATTTTTTTTAATATTGAAACACACCAATATTTTTTGAATTAACGGCACAATTTGTGGTCTATGGTTGTATTACGCTCATTTTGCAAAGTTAGGAACAAGGCATCTAGAGAATATTTGTTGAGGCAAATCTGTGCCACTGTCACTGTTGACCTCCAGGTTATAAAACTGGTCAATATAGGGCCACTATTTCACTGTCTTTTGTCTCCAATACTCACAAGTGTCAATAGTTTTGGAATCATACAAGGGGGAACTTACAAGTGTAGCCTCCCACTTAATGTCAACCTCAGGAATCAATTAGTATGCTTTTTATTTTATAGAAAGCATATCCATCTCAGAGATGTGACATTTATTTACTTGAATATGTTTCAGCAGCAAAACAGTCTCTACTCCACTTAGGATTAGTAGCTACAGATATAATTAAAGTGACAGACACAACTGAGGTAGGAGGGAGGAAAGGGGAAAATCCACTTGATTGTACTCATGGCTGACACGAGTTTTAAAAGAAAAAAAAACCCTGTAAGTGAACCTTTTCATAATAATTGCCAGTACTCCATAGCACTCATTTCTAAGCTGTTAGAGAACTAAGGCAACCAAACAAAACCTGTTCACTGTTCCTGGCAGTACAGTGAACATGAAACTGCAAGCCAGATACTAGGACTGGGTTATTGTAAAAGAATTGTGTGTTGGATTTTTGTTTTTAATCAATATGCAGAAGTGCAATTAGAGGACCCCTCTAGTGTCTTTTTAGAAGTGATTAATTCCTGATATTAAGTTTTCCCTCAAATGCTTAATTCCTCTCCCCTCTCAAATACGGGAAGGATTTCCCTAATGCTTTTATCTTACCATTGCTAGATCTTATATGATTGCAAAAAGGTTTAACTATTACTATGTCAAGTAGGCATCAAGGCAATTTATCATCTGGAAAGACACACTGGCCAAAACAGTTTGGCACTTTTCCTATCTAGTCAATGTTGGAATAAATATTCATCAGCTACAATGCCTCTGGTGAACCACTGGGCTGTCATCTCATATCTGATCAGAACAGCCTAATTCAGTTTCCTATTTCCATAGATTATCATTAAAAGCATACATTCCAAATATTCTTACTGGGATTTCAGCCATCTGAATATTTCCTATTGCAGTAACAATTCATGTTTGTTCCACCTGTGAGGAAATACCTGAAGGCCATCAACCTCAGCAAACCACACCTCCCCTCCTCTGTTCAAGCTAAACCCACTTCCCTACACTTCCAAGAATAGCTAAAAACTCCCAGAAATTTACTGTTACTTCTCTGTTCTTAAAGGCCTCCAGTGATTGATTCCCTGCCTGCTCCAACGCCTAAAAACCTCCCTCAGGGTACTAAAGGCTGTTATTTCTTTTTCCAGCTCTTTATGGATAGAGAAAGTTCCCTTCTTGTGGGAGTCGTATCTTACAGTAGTTGCCTACATACACAGATTACTTTCTGTGGAAAATTACTTACTTTGCTTTATCTGTTTGTTTGCCTCCATTATGATGCTCTGTGCATATTGTATCTTCTGCAAAATACATCAGGATTGTTTATTATTCTGATCTTATTGTGCTGCACAGGTTTTTTTTAATTGATGGCCCTTTTTATCCCCAATAACACTTGCAAGTGTGAAGCTTATTTTGATAAGCATTGGAAAGGGTTCATCCTTCATGCCTCTCAGATTTTCTGAGCAAATAATGGCACTAAGTGTCACATCAATTGTGTTATATCAATGATGAGGTGATACCAGTGTACTGTTTCTGAAAACCAGTTTATCTTCAGAAAGAAAAGACAAAGCAAAGCGACCAAGAGAACCCACAATTTAAGAGACTGAAACATAAAGGACTAAAGATGTAAGTGTATTTCAGGCAAAATAATTTTATAAGGAGAAAAAAAAATCTTATTCAAATTAATCTGTAGCTTAAAAGAAAGAAAAAGAAATTCTTTACATTTAAGAAAACTACAAATCTGACGTAACAAGTGATCAGACCCTGCATTTTGTTTTACTTTGTGCAATATCTCTTAATGTGTGCATAGGCCCAGGAAAATCAAGAGCTTCCCTGAGTAAAATGCTGGCATGTAACTTTGTATTATATACGCATCCATACTTTTCACTTTAAAAGGCCATTAATTTGGAATAGCATTAGAATGAAATTCTAACAAATATTCAACACTAGACACATGCTTGGTGCAGGAATCATGACAAGAGCACAAACTACACAACTGAAAATACAGAAGTTGTCCATAGCCTCTTGTTCCCTTTTCCATTAGGATGGAAAAATCTTAATGTAATGTTCAGTTATATTGCATTAGAATAATTTAAATACTTTTTAGGTTAAGGTTTCCTCCCCTCTGAGGTCTACTTCTATCTCTGCAAGACAACTCAGCCCTTCAAGAACTGTGTTTTCATAGTCTCCAATGTGCCAGATTTCTACTAAATTTACAACTAGAAGCATATGAAGAACCAAGTTTAACACGTCTTATAATGAAACAGTAACTTGAGATTTAAATGACCCTTTAAGTATTTATAGAAATTTTCCTCTTCAAAGAGTTCTAAGTGAGGTAAATATTTACACATCCCATCCCACCTAATCTTCAAATTCTTTAAAGACTTACAATAACTTTGCCACCATCTTTCAGCCCCAAACTGATGCTACACTAACTGCTGAGCAATCTGCTCTTATTTCAGTGCACTGAGATATTTTGACGACTTTGCTAAAGAAAAAACTTCAATGGCACAGTGACAAGCCAAAATTCCAGCTCATACATATTAACTTGCTTACTTAACCATCTTCTAAATGCTGACCTCAAAATTACTTTGAAGAACTGTAGTGGGAAGAAGTGCAATATTTATATCCCTTTATTCAAATACTTCTTTTAACATTTGAACAAAATGCAGCTGAGTCATTAAGTCATAAAGTTGCTGACCATATGATATAAGTTTAAACTCAGAAATGAATATATCCCACTGACTGGGCAACTAAACACACATTGAAGGATGGTTCTTCACAGAAGAATTTTTGAAAAAGCATCTTAAAACTACTGCAAACTTTCCCTACAAAACAAAACTGGATTATTTAACATATCCAACTCTTGTGTTTGATGTCAGTTAGACCAGGACTTTTTGTCCTGTCTTCCTCCTACAGTGAGATAACATTTGGCATAAAAGAAAGAAGAGATCATCAAACCAGTGACAGACACAGCAAGATGCACAAACTGAGATCATGTGAATCAGATAAGTATTTTTCCCATGATACCTCAGTACAAACAAAATTTCCCCCATGTTTTTCCACACAGGCACAGTCTATGAATTATCACAAAGGCAAGAGAATTCAGTAAAAAATAAATAGGACTTGGCCCCCAAAAGAACAGGAAAAAAAACCAGCTCAAAATAAACTGATGAAGGGGCATCTTGGATGGAGTTTGACTCATATTTACTCTAAACAGGTTTGGCTTTACCATGAAACCATAGAAGTGACATTTCACAGCACACTACCTGAGAACAAGCAGTATTTCCAAAAGGCCTACACACAACTGAAACAGGAAGATAATGTCCATGACTCTTTAGCTTTTTGGTAGGTCACTGTACACACTAAGGACATAACTGCAGTGTTTCTCAGAAGTTATCAACCATAGTTTTGCAGGCTGGAAGACTGGACAAAAAACTGATGACATCTGAATTCCCAACCATTGTGGTGAGGTTATGGTTTGTACAGTTTAAGAGCAACAGTGAGACAGAAAATACTTGGCACTGTTATTGACCACATAAACAGATGAAGAGAGAGTAATAATTTCTCTTAATTATCACATCTAATTAAAAAAATCCCTATTTAGGCAGTAGTATCATCAGTAGAACTTAGAAGATTTTTTTTCTAGGAAAAATGTTCTTAAAAAATTTTTATTAAATATTACAGAAGTACTGATGTTTCTCAATATCAAAAATTATTCAAAAAAAGATGTCTGAGGTTATCAATTCTGGATTAATATACAATACAGATAAGATGGCCAATCTACAATCACTACTCATGCATCCAAAGTTTCAGAATCTCATTCTCTTTCTGTTTCAGAAATCAAAAACCCTGGGGTGAAGGAACAACATGGATTTAAGAACCAATGGAAGGAACTGTCTCTGGAATCAGAAACTCAGCAGTCACATCCTCAGGTCCTGCTGTAACTAAGCAGCAGTTTATATGAACTACAAACCTTATACTAAATTCTCCTTCAAACCTAGGAAATTTGTTGAATTACAGTAACACATCAGTAGCTTTAAGAGCTGTTCTTACCTTCTGAATAGCCCTGGCCCATCGTGCTTTTGCAAAATTGCCTCCATCACCCTGGAATGTATTTCTCCTGGAGAAAGGGAGGGGAAAAATAGTCAGAACAGCAAAACATGAAAAGAAATAATTAAAAGAGCTCTTTGACCCACTGTAGACAAATGGGTCAAAGTCAGACAGCTCCATCATCCATTTCTTCTGTATATAGTATTCTCTATATCCTAGAATATATTAGCTCTGTGGAAGTTATTCTTGACATCAAGTTATGAAAGCTTATCCTGGTAGTTTGCATAAGGGAACTTTACACTTAGCAGGATGTGCTGGTTTTGGCTGATCCAAATTTCACACACTCTTATCCTCTGAGTCAATATGAGCTGTTTAGTAAGGACTGTTTCAGTGAATGTTTTGCTTTGTCAATATTAAATCCAAACAAGCTGTGGAAAATAATGGAGGAAAGCACTTCATTATGATCTATTTAGGCCTCAACATAGAGGATTTATTTTATTTATATCTGATGAATGACAGGAGACCATGAGCTAAATCAATAGTTTTTGCAGAGATGATCAGGTTAGAGATAATCAACTAATGAATTTTTACATTACTTCAGTCTATTTTCATCTCCAGTCCACTTTTTCCAAAAGGCAAATAAAAGCAACATTCTAAGAAAATATGATATTGCTGTTACAAACAGCTTTGTTTCTCGTGTAGGTTTTGAATGTTAAAATAAAATATTGAAGTTGAAATATTTTTTTAAAAATTTGATAATTAATAATTTTGTCTTATTTTCGCCAGACTTGAAGATAAGGGTAGAAAAATGTATTTTTTTTCCCCACATTTCCCTGTTTATTTCCAAATACTGTGCCACTCTCTACTTAGGCAGTTGGTTGATAAAAGAAACCAGAATGTATACAGTAAAGAGTCCCTTGACCTGATGGTGATTTGATTGTAAAGTGAGATCACAGCACACATATACTTGATATACAGAGAAAAAATAAGCAGACACTAGACAGTAATTAGAGCAAAACACATGGAAGTATTTTTATATGCTGATTTTCTCTGCTGTAACAAAATACTAAACTGCATTCTGCAACAATTCAGATACACTCGAGCAGAGAAGACTGGCTCACACCATCATCTTTGGATTCCAGGGGGTTCCCTGAAATCTGAGTTCACTGGCTTGAAAAGACTTGATTCCTGTTCCTCATACTATTATCAGGGTATAACAGACCATTGGCAAAGGAATATATTTCCAATTATAGTGGCTCATAAATCAGGATTACAAGGCCTTTCACATCAAGTGGCAGGAGGAGAAGGGGAAAACAAAAACAGCAAAAAAAACCCCAAATCAAGAGAGGGGGAAAAAAAAAAAAGAAAAGGAAAACCTTTGAATTTCCTCAGTAAAGGCATTTCCTTCTGAGGCACAGAGTGAGTGCTATCACAAGTCTTTGCAAATTGAATTAAAGGAGTTACTGAGAAACCACATTACACAAACCCAGAAAACCACCACCTCCCCCCCCCAAAAAAAAGCCACCAAATAGAAGCTTACATTTAGTCCAACAAATCTTTGAAATATGCTCTGTTATGCAATTGGTTGCCCCCACATAGAAGTTGCACATTTGCACAGGCCTATTGGAATGAGGGCTCATTATTCAGCTATTTCACAACCCCTGTGAAGAATGCTGTTTTAAGATGAAAAATGCTAATTCAGTTCATAGCTGTTAAGCACAGGTTAAAATAGTTAGTGCAGGCTCTACCACTCTTGCCAGACTCTAAGTAATTCAAAAGACACTCGTACAAAAACAGTTAAGTTGCAAAATATAAGTGTACAGTAACATTCTATAGATACAATTTACAAAGGACAGTAGCAGCCTGTTTACTAAGTGAAGTTGTTGGAGCGTATTTCTGTTGTATTTCAGTGTCATCCCTTGGTCTACATATTACTATTTAATTATCTTGGACTTTTGGAACAGTGCTCTTTTATTTGAGGAGAAAAATGTTCTCTCTGATACACACAGCTGAGTGCACATGATGCAAACTAAGTGTGAAGAGGCTGTTCTTCCCCTGCCCTCATCTCTGAGGCTGCATCCTTGCAGATTCAGCCTTTTTCCTTTTCACGACTATTTTCTTTTTTTTTTTTTTTTATTGTAAGGTAAATCAACCAAGTGATACTAGTAATTGTTCCACTCCATTCTGCAGCTGTTAACTAGACTGGAAATACTAGGTAATAATTAACCTTAGGAATTATTAAGGTAATTAACCTCAAGGTCAGATGGTTGCCAGTGTTGATTCAGAGGGAACAGAAAGCAACAGCTTTTATTGTCTTAACTGAAGGTAAGTAAGGTCAGGAGCACTCAAATTTGGAGGCATAATGTTCACAGGCAGACAAAAACATTTAACTGGTTTGCACTTTAGGAAGACATTGGGCTGTGACCAGACTGCTGAGCAGAGCAGGTAAATGAGGCAGTTGAATACACTTCTGCTTGTGCCACATAGAAACTCAGCATGGACAGACACAGCCAGGAGCAGCTTTTTACCTGTCCACTGCCTGCTGACACAGGGATGGGTCCGGTTTAGACAAATGATTGTTAATTTTCTATTCAGATCTAGTAAAACTAATCAGTTACCTGGCAGAAAATTTATCAATACTGAACAAAGCCTCCAGATGACACATGATTTGTGTCAGGAATTCTGAGTAACAAAGACCAAGAAGATACTGCTGGGAATCATCTGTGCTGGCAACTGAACTATGCACAAGGAATGCATCGTGTTCCAGGCAAATGCATTGCTACAATTTTTTGAAACCAAGAACTTAAACAAGAACAGATTAGGAGAACTTCAAGCAAGCATTAAGTTAGAAAATAAGGCAATCACAGCTATAATTAGAAAAGCATTAATTGCAAGTGGCAGAACAACAAAAAGCTTGAAAACAAACGACAAATGCCTTAGGAGTGCCTGAAAATCACTGATTCGCCTTTCCTACAACATAATGCCCATCTCTGAACCAATGCAGATCACAGGAACACCAAGGAGTAGAACCAGAAGAGAAGCCTCTGGAGAAGTCCAACAATATTTAGATCCAGAAAGCTGAGCAAGCAACCCAGGTAAAAATGTTGACGCACCATGCATCAAACCAGCAGGCTTCCACATCTCCCAGCAGTAAGGATCAAAATAACACATTTTGTCGCAGTGATTTACCAAGAGAAGACAGTTCCATGCACAGGAATGCACAGGTTAGATAAACACAAGGGCTCTCCAAGCTGGGTTAGTGAAAGAGATCTTTAATAGACAACAACAGTCACACTGACACTTTTATTTAATAGATGTTTTCCCTGTCAATTTTGCCGCACAATTACATTAAAATTGGTCTAGTACTTCAGTGATGATTTGCATTTTCATGGCACCTCTTGTAAAATTAAATCCCACTGCAGACTTCATTGTAAAGCAGTTAATTATAAAGCGGTTGCAGTGTGGCCACATACGGACAAATAATGACATCTTCTGAATGCTTATTTGTGTGTAACAGGCAATCCTGAACATCTGCATGGGTTTGTAAGTATTCATCACCAATGTCAATATTGTCGGCTTTGACTATAACTGGAAATAAACTGGGGAAGAAAAACTGAAATAATCACACTCTATTATGACATATTACAACATTTTTTTACTCAGTAACTTCCACTCCCCACTCGCAGCAGCCAGGCTGAAACAAACATCATGTGCTCAAATCAACCTCTAATGGACAGATCAAGCAGAGTTGTACTTTAGTAGTACACTATTACAAAACTGGGATTTTTAATTTTCTTTTCCTTTAAATATGCTTCCCAGAACATTCCAGTAATTGTAATTCTTGTACAAACATAGGATAAGGATGCTAATGGCAATTTTGATCTTTATTCTACATTCTTTTAAAGTTCAGGAGGAGGATAGAAAAGGATAAATAAAGATGAATAACAGCTTCTCTGTTGTTTATAAAACCTAAAAAGCACTTTCGAGTGCTGCACTTCCAGGGCTGTAACTTCTGAAACAATTTAGTGTGCATTGGAAATATGTCAGTTTGTAAGACACCCAAAACTTTAGCGTGAGGATTTCCACATTTGTTACTCATTTAGGCTGCAGCAGCACAAGTTCTTTGGGACTGTCCCTGTTGGTGCAGTTGCTCCCCCAGCCTTGCACATCAGGCCAAAGCAACATTAGGAATATTAACTGCACCTGGGCTACCAAACGTTGTCCTCGTTATAGCACCTGCCAGGGATTATCTGAAGCTGATTGCACTGAAATGGTTTCCAGCTGAAAACAAGGTGCTTTAAATCACTGGCTTTCAAGTCAGCTCATGCACCTAGTAAAAGGGAACACTATTCTTGTTGGAAAATATATCTGGGATGTGGAACTATAGAAATGGTATTCCATTAAGGATTATTGTACTATGAAGTTATAATTCAATTTTAAATTTTTTCATAGGCCTCAATTATACAGTATAGATAAAAAAAAATCAGTACAACATTAAAAAGCTGTGCAATAAGTAGCAGTTTAGTAGAACACTAGGAGGAACTCTAGGCACTAGTTGTCCATCTTAGCTATAATCACATTAAAAGGAAATTATTGATGTGGTAAAATTGTAAGGGAAAATTAAGTGATTTAGGCTTTCCATGGTTAGCTCTATCACAGTGATACCTACTTTTTTAAGCCTCACATAGATTAATATAATTTAGCATTACCCAACTGCCTCATAGATATTTTCGTGTGTCAGTGGCAAAAGAAGGCAGATTTTCCTCCAAGATACTTTTTGGTAGCACTAAATCTATACCCTTACACAAGTTCTCTTCTGCAGATGCTCAAGTTGCACTTAAAAACTTAGTTTCCAAACACCAAGCAGTTACTCATCTCTACAGTAAAATTTTAGTTTTAAATTTGACTATAATTTTGTTTTCCATCTGCTTTCTTATTGTCTAAAATCAGAAGTTTCAGTAGCTGTATTATCATCTTCAATCACATGTTTATATCAATTAGATTACTGCTGGCTTTCGCTTCAAATAGTTTCCATTTCTGAATTCTTGGTGGGTTTTTTTCTGTTTTAAA